GAGCTGCCCTGTTTGTATTTAAGGGACCAGGATATGGGGGCATTGGTTACTTCAACCTTGGTTCTGTCCACGCCCTTGCTTCCTTCCCAGGTGGGTGTTATTTGCCCTGATCCTTTCCCAGCTGCATCGAGCTCCTAAACTGAGGGTTTCCAGGCTGGAGTGGGATTTAGCTTGGGATGAGGCTCGGGTGGTTTTGGGGGTTGCCCCTTCCAACTCAGGGACAGAGGTTGAGCCCGAATTCTTCGCCGAAGTTTCAGAGTTAACCCAGCAGACACCTCTCTTTGAAGCTTTTCCCTTGAACTCTGTCTTTTCTTCAATGGTAGTGGGGTTGGATATGAGCTCTGCCTCGGGGTCTTTCAGGGGTTCCCGGGGCTCGGGAGTCTACTTTAAGTGCTTGGACTCCTTTTGATCCTGCCTGGGCCTTTGTGCATTCGGAGTGGGGCTTATTGTTGCAGGGCTGAGGGTTTTCGTATCCTCCGTTTCTGTGTGAATTTGAGTTGGGTGCAGTTCTCCCTGGATTCATTTCCAGGTACCCTTGGGTTCCACGGATGCGTCCTTCCGGAGGTTTCCTTCCTCTTAGATTTTCCCTGGGAAGGTTCGGGAGGCCCTTGGTGCTTACCTCCTGCGAGAGGTAATTTAAACCATAAATTAACGGTTTATGCCTCGTTAATGGATCTAGCTTCCTTTCAGTTTGGTTCTTCTTCCCCATATTTGGTGCATTACAAAGGTCCGGAGTCTTCCTGGCTGGAAGACAGCCCTTTCTTTTCCTTTGGAGCTTGGCATGGGTTTTGCCGGACCCATGAGCTTGAGTAGCGAGAGGTTTCCTCACTGTTGCAGGTGTTTTTGGGGAAGGGGGGGGGGGCTCATTGGAGTTTCTCATTGTATATCTCTTTGCCACTGCACTTTCCAGTGATGTGGGTCTGGAGCAGTTGCATGCTCAGGTCCCCTCTCTCTCGGCTGTCTTGGTGGCGGATGACCATCTAACTCGGGGTCATTTGGGTTTGGTCTTGTACTTCTTCGGTCTTCTTGAGCTGTCCTCAGATTGGTTTTCAGAGGATGTGAAGGCATAGATTGGGGGCCTTTGGCTGGTGTTCTGGTTTTGGCTGCCGAGGCATTGGCTGCCTTATTGAAGCTGTTTGCACCGATCCTCCGGCATGCAGTTTATATGTTTTTTGCCTCTTATCTTGTGTGTCAGCAGGCTGTCCTCACTCTCTTTAGATTCTGCTTGGACCCTGGCCTTACAGTTTTCGCCTCTGTTCTGTCCCTTGTTATTTCCGGAGGACTGTTACTTAGTTTTTGTTGGCAGCTTCTGCCAGTTGCCGCCCAATTTCTAATTTGCTGGTGCTCCAGGAGTGGCGGAGGGGAAAGGCGAGCTTGCTCTTCCCAGGGTGGGTTGTACTGGGCTCAAGTTTCAGTAGATTGATATGGGCCTGTGGGGGTGCCAGTTTTGGAACTGGTGCGTCCTCCAAGGCCTTTTTCATCTGGTCGCTCTGCACAGAACTTGGCTTCTTGGAGGTCGTGTGGGACCTTTCATGGGTGCCCCATTGATGGGGCAATGGGGGTGGGGGGAGGCTGGCTCTGTTTGCCCACACTTGGTCCCACGATTCATAGGCCTTTCGTGTCGTCTCCTTTGGCTTTTGGTAGTGTTAGGCGGTTCCTCCTCTGGTAGAAGGTTCAGAGCTGGTGGGGGCAGGCTTCTTCCTGGTCTGTCAGGTCATCTTGGAGTGGGTTCACTTGGGCGTGGTTGAAACGACTTTATCTCTCAGGTGGGTTTCCCGCTTATTTCCGATTCCAAAATGGGACTGAGCGGATCTGCGGTTCATTCTAGACTTGTCCCATCTGAACCATTGGATTCCTTGTCCCTCCTTTTGGATGACTACTTTGTCCCAGTACAGCTCCTTCTCGAGCTGGGTGCTTGGATGTTATCCCTGGACCTCAAGAACACACATTGGCACGTTCCTGTTTGACCGGGGTTTAGGAATTGGCTTGGTTTCGTAGTCGGGCATCAGGCTTACCGCTTTCATTGCCTTCCATTCGACTTAAATCTGGCACCTCACATGTTCATACATTTAATACGGGTTGTGGTGATCTGTCTTCGTCTGCTAGGGGTTTGGGTTCTGGCCTACTTTTATGACTGGTTGGTTTGAGCTACCAATCGGTCTGCATGTCTGCTCACCAGGGACGTGGTTCTTTCCCAGTTTGACTGGTTCGGGTTTCTGGTAAATTGGAGGAAGCCCCATCTGATTTCATCTTGGGTTCAGACTTGGCTGGGCCTTGTGTGGGTTTCTCAGACCACGTCCATTTCTCTTCCTCCTGTGTATTTATTCAGGCTGCAGTCCTGTTGTCTGCTGTTTTTGAGGGGGGACTCAAGTTACTCGAGTGGTTACTCGAGCAGCTGTGCACGAGCCTAAAATTTGCATTACTGGTTTTCCCGCTGGACAGTGTCTAGCTTTAGAGGCTGTTCTGGTATCTTCAGGGCAGCCCATTTCGCCGCTTTCGCGATTGATGGGTTCGACCACTAGGGGCCTTGTGTCGGTTACTGCATCTCCTGCTTCCTCTTCGGGTTTTTTGGAGTTTGGTGCCTTGGCGCCTTCTGGAGCCCTTCACTCGATGTGTTCACAGATTCTTCATATCTTGGCTGCTTTGTGACTGGTGCTCACCAGGCTGGCCAGTGGGCACCGTCGGGCTTACAGCATGTTGCGGGATTTTGTGGCTTTTGCTGCAACGGATTTGGCTCATTCGAGGCTCTTCGATCCAGCTTCATTCAGACTGCGCCCCAGTGATTCATTGCCTAAACCGCGGGGAGTCTCTTCGGTTCTTGGCTCTTTGGGGCTGGTCGCTTTGAGTGGCTCTTCCGAGTTCTCGGGGCTTTGCTCTCCGTGCAGTTCACATCTGGGGTGTGTCCATTGTCCTGGCAGACGGCCTGTCTTGGTTAATTCCCCTGTCCATGGAATGGACAGTTGACTTCGAATCCTTCAGTTGGCTCTGTCAGACGTTCAGGACATCAGAGGTGGCCCTCTTTGCGTTGGCGTGGTTGAGGCATCTCCTGATATATGTGGCACCCTTCCTCAACTGCAACGTCATCGCAGTAGATGCTTTTCGGCAGGACTGGTCGAAGTGGGGTTACCTGTATTTCTTCCCCCCCCCCCCCCCCCCCTTCCTGGTCCAGCTGTTGCTTCAGGTTCTAGCTCAGCTGGAGTCCTATCAGGGAGAGTTCTCCTTCTGGCCTTATGGTGGCCGGCCCAGTTTTGGTTTCAGACGCTGCTTCCTCAGTGTCCAAACCCAGGGCATTTTCCGCAGCTCTGCCTCTTTCAGCAGGTCGGCCCAGTGAGGTACTTTGCTGGTCCGATCTACTCTTCTGCTCTTCAAGTCTGGTTTTTCCGAGACTTGTGTATCACCATTTATATCACCATATTCATATCGTGCATTCACTGTGGATGTCACTTTGGCTCCTTTCCGCACGCTTTCTCATGCCTTTTTTCACCTCCGGCCTGCTCAAGTGTTGTCTGAGCCGCCTTGATCTTTGGACCGGGTTCATTCCTTTCTTTCTTTTCCTCGGTTTGTAGTGACCCTTCGGTTTGTGATTGCTTTTGGGAAGCTTTGTTTTTGTTGGCTTTTGCCTCTGGGGGTTGGGTTGGGAAGCTTCATTCTCTTGCCAGTGCCAGGGGGGTTTGTTTGTTTGGCCCTGGTGGTGGTCATTTTTCTTCATTTGCAGCTGGCTCCTCTTTTTTTGACAAAGAATGAGAGAATGAGATGGCAGGCTTCTGGAGGGGTTCTGTTGTGGATGCTTGGTTGGTTAGGACTAGGGTGTGATGTGAATCATGTGATGTGTCTGGTGGCGGCTTTATGCCGCTACCTTCATGCCACCGGTTCTGTGTCGGTGGACGTGCTCCAGGTTGATCTGGTTTCCCTGGTTCCTTGTTCCAAGGCTCGTGTGTCTCAGGTTGTCTGCAGTGTCATTAAGTCTAGCCAGCCTGCAGTCTACCCTCGTACCCTAGAGGTTAGTAAGTACTGTATGCTGCTTTTTTGGCTGTCTTTGGCAGTATGTCTTGGGAAGATATTCAGGTACGGGGGTTATAGAGGTCAAACAGGGGGTACTGCCCCCAGGTATCTCCTAAACGTTCCAGGGTCTCTGAGGGCCTTGTGTTGCTTCGGGGGGGGGGGGGGGCTTGTCGCGGTCGTCTGTCTCTTCCTCGCATTGAGACCTATGTTGCTGCCACCTCCTGGATAAGTCCCCATTTTTCCTTCTCTTTGGGTATTAGCTTCAGGGAACCGACGGGGCTCCTCACAGAAAACCAGTTTTGAATATAATGAAATGCCAGTTTATGGGTGAGCCCCAGAGTCTCCCTGACCCCCCTCCCTCCCTCCGGCCAGCGGTTTTCAGCATTCAAGATCTGGATGGAGGGTACCCAGGCTCACGCAAGCCAGCCTTGCACCTCCCCCCTTGCCAGGGAGGGGGGTGGCGCTAACGAGCAAGAAACTAGTTGAATGAGTGTTGCATGTTTGTTTTCTTTATGGGGTAGTTCTTTTGCTTTTTTTAAGAACATAGTTCACAATTTTCACCAGACTGTGCTCTGTTTTGTTTCGCCTACCTTTCAGGGTGCCTTCCCTGGTCAATGGCAAATATGACATACTTTAAATGTAAAGTGTTCATAGGTCATTGCTTCCGTCGCTTCTCTGAGGGGGCCAGGTTCTGGCTCATGGTCCCTGGTAGGCAAAAGAACTCTGTGACTGATAACCCCAACTAATATAGCACTATATCAGTTTGGATAGCTTCAGGAAGCCTCTGGGGCTCACCCAGAAACTAGTGTTTCATTACATTCAACGCTCTATTTTTGTGACCTCAAATTTTAATTAGCTATGAAGGTACAAGTAAACTAAGTACTTGTGCCAAAAGATTCTCAAACATTCTAGTGCTTATAAAATAAGGAACATGCTGCTGTTTGTAGAATGTTTGTAATGTGTGCATTATACATTACTTCTGTACTTTATTGTTGCAGATATACAACAGAGTCAGTTGGGGATTTGGATAACCATTGCATTTAATTTTGCTCTGGTGTTTGCCCTTGCTTTTGCACTCACTCTCCACCACCGCCTCAAGAAGAATAAAAGTAAGTATGAATTACTCGACTGTAATGGTTGATGCATTTATAAATGGACAAACGAAAGGTATCTACCTTAATCCTTCAACTGGACATATTAAACAGTCATTTCATCGGTGTGCATGTCAACCAGGGTCAATTTTAGGTCTAATGTTGGATTTAAAACTACTGCAGGAGCTTATTAATTTATTTCTGCCCTCTCCCCATGCTTCCCCATGCCCTCCTCTCCCCCACTCTTCCCCATGCCCTCCTCTCCCCCACTCTTCCCCATGCCCTCCTCTCCCCCACTCTTCCCCATGCCCTCCTCTCCCCCACTCTTCCCCATGCCCTCCTCTCCCCCACTATTCCCCATGCCCTCCTCTCCCCCACTCTTCCCCATGCCCTCCTCTCCCCCACTCTTCCCCATGCCCTCCTCTCCCCCACTCTTCCCCATGCCCCTCTTTTTCCCCCCACTCTTCCCCCCTGCCCCCTCCTCTTCCCCCCTGCCCCCTCCTCTTCCCCCCTGCCCCTCCTCTTCCCCCCTGCCCCCTCCTCTTCCCCCCTGCCCCCTCCTCTTCCCCCCTGCCCCCTCCTCTTCCCCCCTGCCCCCTCCTCTTCCCCCCTGCCCCCTCCTCTTCCCCCCTGCCCCCTCCTCTTCCCCCCTGCCCCCTCCTCTTCCCCCCTGCCCCCTCCTCTTCCCCCCTGCCCCCTCCTCTTCCCCCCTGCCCCCTTCCTCCCCCCCCCCCCCCTGCCCCCTCCTCTTCCCCCCTGCCCCCTCCTCTTCCCCCCTGCCCCCTCCTCTTCCCCCCTGCCCCCTCCTCTTCCCCCCTGCCCCCTCCTCTTCCCCCCTGCCCCCTCCTCTTCCCCCCTGCCCCCTCCTCTTCCCCCCTGCCCCCTCCTCTTCCCCCCTGCCCCCTCCTCTTCCCCCCTGCCCCCTCCTCTTCCCCCCTGCCCCCTCCTCTTCCCCCCTGCCCCCTCCTCTTCCCCCCTGCCCCCTCCTCTTCCCCCCTGCCCCCTCCTCTTCCCCCCTGCCCCCTCCTCTTCCCCCCTGCCCCCTCCTCTTCCCCCCTGCCCCCTCCTCTTCCCCCCTGCCCCCTCCTCTTCCCCCCTGCCCCCTCCTCTTCCCCCCTGCCCCCTCCTCTTCCCCCCTGCCCCCTCCTCTTCCCCCCTGCCCCCTCCTCCCCCCCCCCTGCCCCCTCCTCCTCCCCCCTGCCCCCTCCTCCTCCCCCCTGCCCCCTCCTCCTCCCCCCTCCTCTTCCCCCTGCCCCTCTTCCCCCTCCTCTTCCCCCCTGCCCCCTCCTCTTCCCCCCTGCCCCCTCCTCTTCCCCCCTGCCCCCTCCTCTTCCCCCCTGCCCCCTCCTCTTCCCCCTGCCCCCTCCTCTTCCCCCCTGCCCCCTCCTCTTCCCCCCTGCCCCCTCCTCTTCCCCCCTGCCCCCTCCTCTTCCCCCTGCCCCCTCCTCCTCCCCCCTGCCCCCTCCTCCTCCCCCCTGCCCCCTCCTCCTCCCCCCTGCCCCCTCCTCCTCCCCCCTGCCCCCTCCTCCCCCCCTGCCCCCTCCTCCTCCCCCCTGCCCCCTCCTCCTCCCCCCTGCCCCCTCCTCCTCCCCCCTGCCCCCTCCTCCTCCCCCCTGCCCCCTCCTCCTCCCCCCTGCCCCCTCCTCCTCCCCCCTGCCCCCTCCTCTTCCCCCCTGCCCCCTCCTCTTCCCCCTGCCCCTCCTCTCCCCCCCCCCCCCCACTCTTCCCCCATGCCCCTCCTCTCCCCTTCTCTTCCCCATGCCCTCCTCTGCCCACTCCGTGCCCTTCTCTCCCTTCACTCCTCCGTGCCCTTCTCTCTCCCCACTCCTCTGTGCTATTATTCCCCATGCCCTCCCATACCCTATTGTTCCCCATGCTTCCCCCTTTCCCTATTCCCATGCCCTCACCCCTCCCTATTATTCCCCATGTCCCCTGTAAGGACAAAAGCTTCTAAGCCGTACCCTAGAGTACAAGGTATCGAAACCCGTCCTTACTTCTTAGAAATATAAGGAGACCTAAAATCTATCTGGGCCTACTTTTGACAATAATCACACACAACTGGACAAATACTCTCACCTCCTAGGGATAACCAAAGGTTAGGGGGTAACAAATTGGTAAAATAAATTTTTATCTGTACAAATGGATTTTATTTGGTTTTATTTCAATGGCTTAAACTTACTTTACAAGAGTTACTTCTGGGGTTTACAGTTACTTTACAGGATAATTTGAAATGAGTGATAGTTTCCCAGAACATGTACTTATCATACAAATCACTTGGAATACTAATCCTACTCATCCCATTAATATGTAGCGCTTCCCTGTTCACCAGCCTGTGTTCCAACAATGTGTCACTAAAATGCGTATCGCCAATTTGTTCATTTCTATGTCCTAGGAAGTTCCAAACTGGTTTTAAACATTTAACACTACTTTTTATGCATATTTTAAATCACTGAATGTACTTGCAATATGTATTTTTCTTTGTTGAATTGGTTTGCCTTGTTTATATTAGAGGAATGTTATCACTGTGACAATGTACTGCACATGTGCAGAACTAGCCACTGCACTGGTAGGAATTCCAAATTCAAGAGTTATCCACACTAATGCATTCCTCCAAAAGTACCCTTACACCCTTCTTTACTGTTTCCTCATACCTGCTCTACCCATGCCCTCTCTCCCTATTATTCCCTACGCCCCCTCTCCTCCCTACTCTTCCCTGTGGCCCTCCATTCCCTACCCTGCACTTTCCTGGTGGTAATGTACTGATCAACACAAGATAACCAACACAAGCCTGCTACCATACTTGTGGATGGTTGATTTAATAAAATAGTAATACAAAATATCGATTAACTGTGATGCCAAGAAATTTAATCTGCTCTAAATAATGTTTTGATTTAGGAAATAATATATTTTATGCTGTCAATAATTTCAACAGATTTGCTGCTTGGCTTGAAAGAGAGAAAACCCACAGTGCTGTTGATATATCTGCCTGAGAACCAACTATGCTTGCATTTAGTGAATATGGTTGCAACTTTTCTCAAGGAGGTCTGCTATGTCCACCCGTATGTCATCGATAGTGATGTGGGCAATCAGGTGAGAAACTGTCAAAATGTTTACAGAGAGTTTAAAATAAATTAGAAATATAAACACATCCTTCACTGTGTGTTTTGTTTAACTTGTTCTCATGTTGTTATTCTCTTACTGAAAGAGTCATTATTAAGATATGATACTCTAGGAAGAAGAATTATGGCATTGACTAAATTTTGTCTCATGCTCAAAATATACAACCATAAAATAACTTTAAAGTCAATACAATTTAATCCTCATTCTTACCAGGATCCTAACTACTGGACAAGTGAGCACATGATCGAGGTTGACCGCCTGTTGTTCCTTGTGCCTGCCAACCCAAATGGGGAGAGTGTGACTCCCATCAGGCACCACTGGGCTTATGCCTTGACTTATCTCACTGGACATTACTTTGCCACTCACCAGGCCATAAATAAGGTTGCCGCTGTGGTTTTTCCCTTCAGTGTCGATGTACCACATCAGGTAAGCAATGACTTTGATGTAATGTTTTATCACTTTGTCACTGATGTAATGTCTTTAAATTTTATGATTTTGTCATGAAATATGATACCAATTTTAGGTGGGAATCCATTTCAGGAGTCTATAAGATTGAACCATATACTGTACAGCAAAAGTTTGTTAACCCTTAAATGGCGCCTGGCTATTTAGCATGTGTCACCCACAGGCGCATACCAAAAAGAAAAAAAAAATTATTTTTTCTTCTAAACTTGTTAATTTGTGTTCACTGATCATGGGAAAAATAATAAAAAAAAAAACGTAAGTGGCATATATTGCCCGCTATAGGGCGGGGAAGTCTGGCAAAAAACAGGCGCTGACTCAGCGTGCGTCCCAGACGGTTTGTTGCTCGCCAGCTGTTGGGCCGGAGTTGCCACAGAGATAATTACCTAATTATTTCAATGTCTCTGATTTTTTGTAGTTTTTTTGCTGTAATATTATTCAATAGTGTGTAGTGTGATATATTTATATAATAAAATGAGTGGATCATCGCTGTACTCAAAAATATGGTGTGCATATTGTTGATTCAATTATGTTCATCAAACAGTGAACAAATACTTTGTTGGTTATTACACTATATACACAGGTTATATATAAGTATCTGCATGTTTTGTTCACCATAACGAACCACTAAGTTGCTATTATGAGTCAAAAAGTAAAGAGAAGTGACCGCCACACACCAGCCAGCCACTCACTCCCTCAACACCTCACTCGCCCACATTCTCCTCCCACCATACTTTTTTGCTTTTATTCACTATATACAGACGTTATATATAAGTATCTACATTCGTGTTCACCATAACGAACCACTAAGTTGGCATGCTGAGTGGCAGTGGCAGCCCGCCACTGGCTGCTACTTCCTCCCTCCCTCAAGTCACTCGACTCACCCACATTCTCCTCCCACAATACTGTTTTTGCTTTTATTCACTATATACAGACGCTATATATAAGTATCTACATTCGTGTTCCATTTTTTTTTGTTCCAGACGCCATTTTTTTTTTTAAATCGTGGGCCAAATTCCCGGGTGTGAGGGGCCTCAGTATTGAGTGAGCAACCAAGCCTGATGCACGCTGCATGAGCTCACAGCACTGCTGTTCAGCTTGTGACCACAGCATCGCCTAAAAATGCCATAATATACATGTTCTTGCTATTATTTAGCAATGATATTATTACAGAAGCCCCCTGACTGTGATAAAAATTACCAGGATTCTGATAATAGCAGGATTGTGGTGATATTTAGCGCTGTGCTCCATGGAGGGAGGAGTAATGCTGTGGGAGGGAGGGTGGTGGCGTCGTCTTCTGACTGTGTGTAGCCACCTTTTATTGACAGCACTCACCATACCAGCTTAGTGGTTCGCTATGGTGAACACAAATGTAGATTTAATTTAAACTGGGAGATTGAAGAAATCAAGCAGAGACTGAAGCAATCATATCAGATTGAAGAATTGCAATTACAACAGAAAGCAATACAAGAAATAATGATATACCCAAAATATTTCTTCCTATATGGGAAAGCAAAATCAAGAACCACTGTCAGTATTGGACCTATTCTTAAAAATGAAGGTTCTTACACAGAGGATGACAAAGAAATTAGTGAAATTCTAAAAAACCACCATGAGAACATGTTTAGCACCCCAATAAACAGCATGAAAGTGGAAGATCCGGACAACTTCTTTATGCATGATATCCAAACTCCTGAAAATGTAACTTATATCAACAGGAGCACTACAGATTTTGAAAAAGAAATTGAAAACATGCCCATGCACTCAGCCCTGGGTCCAGACTCGTGGAATTCAATATTTATAAAGAAATGCAAAGTGCTGGTAGCACAGGCACTCAGTATAGTGTGGAAGAGCTTGGATATGTGATATGCCAAATGTGCTTAAATTAACAGACCCAGCTTCTCTATACAATGGAGCAAAGCATTGACTAAGAATTATAGACATGTTGCACTAACGTCTTGCATAATAAAAGTATTTGAGAGTGATTAGGAGTCAGATCTCCAGTTTTATGCAGACCAATGACCTCCACAACCCAGGCCAACATGGATTTAGAGTGGGAAGATCATGCCTCACAACAACTCAACCACTATGACAAACTCACTGAGGCATTAGATGAAAAATGGAATGCAGATGTGGTATACACTGATTTCACAAAAGGCATTTGATAAATGTGACCATGGAGTGATAGCTCACAAAATGAGATCAATATGAATAACAAGTAAAGTAGGACAAAGGATATTCAAATTTCTGTCAAACAGAATGCAAAGAGTAACAGTCAATCAAATAAAACCAGCGTTGAATGTAATGAAACGCCATTTTCTAGGTGAGACCCGGAGACCCCCCGGAGCTTACTAGGCTGATATACTAATGTCAGACTTTGGCATCAGTCATGTGTATGGAGTTCTGTGGGCCTACCGGGGACCACGAGCCAGAACCTGGCCTCCTCAGAGAGGCATGGGGAACGATGGCCTATAGACACCCCCGTGTGGTTGGAAGCATTCTATGTCTGCCATCGACCAGGTCAGGCACCCAGAAGGGTAAGGATCCCAAAACAAACCCCTATTCTGGTGAAAATGTTGCTACCAAAAGCCGAACAAGTGGATAGAACTCCCCTTAAAGAAACGAGTAAACGAGCATGACGTCACACGTCATCGCGCCACTGTCTGCGCAGCTCCCTCCCTCCACGGGAGGAGGAAGGGGAGCCCCAGACCCCCCACACCGGCTTGTCCTGGGTTCATCCTGATCACAGGGTTCGTCCTCTGGGGGGGCCTTGCGTTGCCGGCTTCCTCTTCGGGTTTTTTCGGTGTTCAGTGCCTTGACGCCTACCCAAGCCCTCGCTCGATGTGTACACAGACGCGTCATTTCTCAGCTGGGGTTTTGTGACCAGTGCCCACCAGGCTGGCCAGGGGCAGTGGGGGTCTTGTCTTTCTGTCAGGCCCACAGCACGGTGCGGGAGTTCGCGGTGGTGTGGTTTTCACTTCAGAGGGTTCGGGTCGCCCCCGCAGATCGACTATCCAGCTGCATTCAGACTGCTCCCCGATGGTTCATTGTCTGAACCGAGGGTGTTTGATGCAGTCCTTGGCTCTTTTGGGCTGGTCGTTCAGGTGACTCATTTGCCGAGTTCTTGAGGTTTGGCTCTCCTGGCGGTTCACATCTGGGGGATGTCCACCGTCCTGGGACGGCCTGTCTCAGTTCATTCCCCCTGTCCATGGAATGGACGGTCGATGTCGACTCATTAAGTTGGCTCTGCCAGACGTTCTGGCACCTGGAGGTGGACCTCGTCATGTCGGCGTGGTCGAGGCATCTTCTGGTATATGTGGCGCCCTTCCTCGACCGCGAGGCCGTCGGGATCGATACCTTCTGGCAGGACTGGTCGAGGTGAGGGTTCCTATACCTCTTTTTCCCGATTCAGCTGTTGCTCCAGATCCTAGCTTGCTTGGAGACTATTATAGTCTGTGGGTTGGTTGATGTTGTTGTCGTCGTGTTCCTCCTTTACGGACAACCCAACCCACAACTCGGTAGAGTGCTTATACCTCACTAGGAGATCACCCTTGGCGCTTCTGGCTCTTGGAGAGGGGCTCAACGTCACACGTTTAGGGGATGCGGCTCCAACACTTGGCCTCGTTGTCACGTGCACACACCCACTCGAGCCGCTGTGACTCCCCACTCTCTCCTTAGGTAATATGATCTCCTCGATCCCCTTTTGGCTTATTAGTATTACCTTCTACCCTGTCCACAGCAGTGGTTCTTGGTTCTTTCTCTCTCTCTCTCCTTCTTTACTACCTCCTGGGAAGCCTCACTAGGACAAGGGCAAACACCAGCAAATTGGAATACATTTACTGGACAAAGCACATACACGATACATACACACATATAATAATAATGAATCCTATACTCTATACTATTATAATCAGGTTGCTCTCCAACACAACCAGAACTCTACCATCAGCTTATCAAGTGGTATTCTATCTCCTGGTTCACCACCTGATACTATCAACCTCCTTAAGTTGATCAAGTCTACATACACTGTTGCACCATCAGCAAGAGAATATATATATGTATCTATAAATGTGTACAAAGAAAATCAGCATATGAATGCAATAACACGTATCAGTATAAATGTTCCTTGACACACAACAATGATCAATCGATCACTCTATCAGCCCTAGAACGCATACATCTGTAGGTAATCCAGCCTACGACTGTGACTTTAAACTTTAGTGTAAAACACTCCTTGACATAAGAATGCCAACAGTCACTCACCTCTCACTGCGTCTTGCACGCTAATGACAACCAAACACTATCAACTCCCTATAAGTAATCCACCAGAACTTCCCTTCCACCTCTGGAAGTTCACTACCCTAATATCCTTAGGTTCTTCCGGGCTTCACTACCAGGATCCTCTGCAGCTCCTCCAGGCTGCTATCATGAAGTTTCCTTGAGTAACTACGGTGCTTCACCCTTCTGCTAGGTTCCTCCACAGCTCTCTTGGCTGCTACACCATGAAGTTTCCTCGAGCAACTATGGTGCTTCTCCACCTCTACAGAAGCATGTGACACTCCTCTTCACTGCTTCTCACAGCTCGAGGTCCTCGCCTCCACTACCTTGGAGTCTCATCAACTACTTCATCTGTGCTGGCTTCGAAGTTCTCAGCAACTTCTTCCCCAAAGACAAACCTGCAACCCATCGACACTCCAATAAAATGTTCCCCTTTAACACATAAACAAAAATAATCACACAATATGTTTGCATCAAATCTCTATCTGTCCTCTACATACAGTGAGAGTGGACTCCCCTGTTTTGGGCAGGTCCATACTCCACCTCGCCCGGCGGCGGTCCTCACTCACTCCGCCTCACTCACTCAGGGAGGGTCTTCCACCGTCAGGAGCCGGGCTCCCTCAGTTGCCCGCCAGCGCTCAGAGGGGACGGACGTCGCTCCGTGTTCCTCCCTCTCCACTCTCTTATTTCAGGCCTTCTGCCTTATTAAAACATGTCTAACTTATAAATAAACATCGCTACTGTCGCTGGGCACACGACCAACTACAAGCAATCACTATGAACTGGCGTATATCGTGCTTACCACAGATCGTCTGGTCGAGGGCGCTCCTTCCTCTGACGAGGCTTGGTCAGGGCGCTTCCACGGCCCACAATAATGCCTCTGGGCGGTTTAATAAACACTTCTCATCGCCCACGACTTGAGACCACACGTCCCCAGCTCGATTCCACAGCTGGTACGTCTGCACACTTCTCTTCTCTTCGAGATATATCACTAGGGGTTCCCTTCTGACGGGAGCTCAACGGAGCGCGGCTTTCCCCTGCGATGTCTGGCACTCAAGTGAGGTCAAAGCCCCTCCAGAAGCGAGCCTCACGCCTCCAGCAAAATATCCACATCTCCTAGCCAGTCATTTATCTATTTCCTTACTTACTGCCCATAATCTTAAACTGCTCATTGAATCCATCATACTATTTTTCATATGGGTTATCACCTCAATATTTGCTGGACCTTCTAATCAGGTCAGGCTTGATGAATAACTCTCAAGGAGGGAGACTCGTTTCTCCTGCAGGCTGAGATCATAACAAGACTTACCAAGGGAGAGTAGTCCTCTTGGCCCCTTGGTGGCCGGCCCGGCCTTGGTTTCAGGCTCTGCTTGTTCGGTGTCCAAACCCGGAGGTTTTTCCACGGCTCCGCCTCTTTCAACAGATCGGTCCGATCCGTTGCGAGACTGGTTCGCTCTTCTCCTCGAGTCTTGGCGTTTGGTCTTTTTGACTCAAGTCTATCACCATCTGTATAGTGATTAGATGTTCTTTCATGGTGTCCCACCTGTGGGCTTCGTCTTGGTGGCAATATGAAGTTTCCTGGTGGTCCTTCTGTTTCATTTTGTCTCTTCGGCGCTGTACTTCCCTTTCTGTTAAGGTTGTTTTGTCCTTTCTCTTGTGGCTGTTTCAGGAAAGTCAAATTATGCCAAATACTGTCGCCTCGTACCATGTGGCGTTGGCAAAGCCTGCAGCTTGCTTTTGGTATTTGTTACTTCTGCACCATTTCGCAAGCTGTCTGGAGCGTTGTTTCACCTCCGGCCTGCTCATGCGCCGCCTGCCCCGTCCTGGTCTTTGGACAGAGTTCTCTCGTATCTGTCGTCATCTCGGTTTGTTGTTGCTCCTTCGGTTCAGGATTGTTTTTCCAAAGCTCTTTTCTTGTTGGCATTGGCTTCTGGGGGTCCGGTTGGAGGGCTTCATGCTCTCCTCCGGTGCAGGGGTTTCTGCTCCTTTGGTCGTGGTGATAGGTTTGTTTATTTGCAGCTGTCTCCTCCTTTTTTGGCGAAGAATGAGACTGCTGCTTTGCGGAGTGGTCCTTGGGTTGTTGATGCTTGGTTGGTCAGGCCGCGGGTGCATCATGTGTGGTCCAGTTGCAGCACTTTACCGTTATTGGCGCGCCACAGCCTCTGTGGTGGGGGACGCGCTTTGGGTTGATCAAGTTTCCCTTCTTCCCTATTCTCAGATTCAAGTCTCTCAGGTTGTCCACAGGGTTATTCGGTCTAGGCAGCCTGCAGTCTATCCCCATGCCCATGACGTTCATAAGTTTGCTGCACTTGCTGCCTTCTTCAGTAACATTTCCTGGGCTGACATTTGGGCACGGGGTTTTTGGCGGTCGAACAGGGTCCTGGCTGCACGTTACCTCATGAATGTTCCTGGGGCCTAGTCGGGCCTGTATCGCTTTGGGTCAGCGGTTGCAGCCTGTTGTCTCGACTTTGAGTTGAGATGCAAGCACTGACCGCTTCCGGGGTAAGTCCCTCTGGTTTTCGTCTTTGGTGGAGTAGCTCCAAGGAGCCCAAGGAGCTTCCCCCAGAAAACCAGCGTTGAATGTAATGAAACACCATTTTTTGGGTGAGACACGGAGACTCCCCGGCAACCCTCCCTCCTACTGATCGGCGATTTTTCACGTGTTTTTGACATCCAGCCTCAGAACTGCAGGGTGGATTGCCAGAGGTCTGGGGCTCCTCCTTCCCCCTCCTGGGGAGGGGAAAGGAAGGAAGGGAGGGAGGGGGAGCTGCACAGACATGCAGCACGGCTCGTGTGACATGCTCATTTGCTTGTTTTCATTTGGAGTTCTGTCCACTCATTTGTCTTTGTTTTAACCAGAATAAGGGTTTGTTTTGAGGCCCTTACCTTTCTGGGTGCCTGTCCCGGTCGATGGCAGATATAGAATGCTCCAAATCCCATGTGAATTTCTATAAGCCCTTGCTCCTCAAACCTGGCTTGTTTAGGTTATCTTGAATAGCATGTGTGTGTGTTTTAGGAGACTTGAGTAATTACTTGCTGTTCAGAGTTTCTGGATTCGTGCCAGGTATCACAGAGAACACTTCTGTATACAGTATTATTATTAATACAGTAATAATATAATTATTATTATTACTGTATTGATATATACTTCGTGTGTATATACTGTAATTCTTTTTGACTATACAAGTTAATATTTTCAGATAGCTAATGTGCAGCGATTCAAGCTGGGGCAAGACATGAGTTCTCTGGTGACATGGCTCCACTGTGGAACTTGGATGGACTGTAAATTCCTATGGGAGCCACAAGTCAAGTCACCGTGCCAAAAGGTGGTCACTTATACACTGGCAGATATTAATGAGGCTATAAGACATGCATCTCGGGAAACAAAATGCAGTAATGATTTTCAGATTAAAGGGAACGTGGATGAAAAGAGCGTTCTCACTAGCAAAAAGACAGAAGGGAGGATGGCCTTACCAAGTGCTAAACCTGTTATTGAGAATTACACTGTAAGGGAAAATTTAGAGAAGCAAAATGCAAATATGATTGGCATTATTCAAAAAGATTCCTTTGATCCAGATGTGCCAAATATTGATAGGTTACCAATGCTGGGAGAGGAAGCCTCTGCCACAATATCTGATAATGATTCATCAGATGAGTGTTCAGATGAACTAGATGACAGAGCATTTCTTTGAGTTGTCCCATGCATCTTTTGGCTGCGAAAGATGCAAATTGCAATGTTTGGCCTTCCACTTAAACCCTTATCTGTCCATCTTTCCTTGTATCTTTTTTAAGCACAAGTGATATGTTCACCTTAAATGACACTTCCATTTTATAGGGAGAGATACAAACAATTATTTGTTCAGTTCCTAAAACAAATGTGTACAGAGTTTTATATTAAAATGTTTGTGAATTATTTTCACTGCATATGTTATCATATGTCATTATGCTGTTTTTCCACTTAGAGTGGGGAGGCATCAGCCCAGAGAAAGTTGTAGGTACAAGTTTAAGTAATAAAATATTAAAAGTATAACTCTGCCAGTCATTATATTATGTACAATGCAATGTATAGTGGTACAAATAAGCAAGAACTACAGTACCACAGCAGCAACCCAACACTTCATTGGACCAGGATTCAACAAGCATTTACACAATTTATAGACCTGTATCATTGACAAGTGTAATAGTCAAAATATTAGACAAAATAATTAAAACTAAATGGGTAGAACACTTGGAGAAAAAATATATAATAACAAACAGTATGGTTTTCAATCTGGAAGATCCTGTATAATGAATTCACTTAGTTTCTGATAGAGCCACAGCGATTTTACAGGAAAGAGGTGGTTGGGTTGGCTAAATCTATCTGGACCTAAAAACACTTTAGATAGAGTTCCACATAGGAGGTTGTTCTTGGAACTGTCTTGGAACATGGAACTTTTCTTGGAAATGGAATATACTGGAGGAGTGACAGGGGAGGCTTTTAACATGGGTGAAAAATTTTCCGACAGAAAAATGAGGGCAGTAATCGGAGGCAATGTATTGAACTGGATAAATGTCACGTGTGGAGTACCACAGGGTTCAGTTCTTGCACTGTAATGTTCATTGTCTACATAAACCACCTACCAGAAGAAATACAGAATTATATGAAAATGTTTGCTGATGATGCTAAAGAAACTAGGGAAAATGAAAAACTTGGACGATTTTCATGCCCTTTAAGAAGACCTTAACAGAATGAGTGAATGGAGCACCACAGGGCAAATGGAATTTAATGTGAATAAATTCCATGTTATGGAATGTGGAATAGGAGAAAATAGACAACACACAACATAAAATTATGTGAAAAAGCTTAAAAAAAATTCTGATAGAGAATCTAGGGGGGGGGTGGTATTAGAAAACTATCACCTAGGACCACATAAAGAATGTTGTGTGAGGAGCCTATGCTATGCTTTCCAATTTCAGAATTGCTTTTAATTACTTGGGTGGTGAAATACTGAAGAAATTGTTCATGACCTTTGTGAAACCAAAACTGGAATATGCAGCGGTTATATGTTGCCTATATTTTTAGAAGGACATTGGCAAACTGGAAAAGGTGCAAGGACATGCAACTAAATGACTCTCTGAACTGAAAGACAAGAGCTATGAGGAGAGGTTAGAGGCATTAAATATGCCAAAACTGGAAGATAGAAGAAAGAGGCAATGTGATCACTATATACAAAATAGTAAAGTGACAAAATTGATTGGAAAAAATTCCTGATACCTGGAACTTAAACAAGAGGTCATAGATTTAAACTAACTAAACAAAGCTGCCAAAGAAATATGAGATACTGTAATTCACTTTCACAAAGCGTGGTAGACAGTTGAAATAAGTCAAGTGAGAAGATGGTGGAGGCCAAAATTGTCAGTCGTTTCAAAATAAGACAGTGTGCTGCGAAGACGCCACACCATGAGTGTAGCTCTCATCCTGTAACTACACTTAGGTAATTACATCTGCTTTCAAACTTGTACATCTTTTCTCAATTTTTTGGCAGCATTGTTTACATATATTAAGCAGTTTTAGAGCATCAAAAATGCCCAGTTAAATGATGTTATAAATAGTCGCCGGGTGCTTCAGAACTCATAAACTGTTTAAATAATAAATAACTGTTTAAAATTACCCACCAAAAATTGAGAGAGAAGGTATACAGGTTTGTAAGTGATGAGTAAGTTATGCAGTCCGTAACTGCGTGATGAATTCAGATCCAGATGCATTGTGCTATACATAAGTTGTCTTGTTCATTATATATAAATGGATTACTTTGGTAACGGCTTCAAATCAACCTTTTGTTATTTACCCATACCCATACATTCACCTTGCCACCGCACCATCTTCTTATTTTTAATTTAGGAAAAATAATTAATATTTGTTAATCATACTTTTTCCTTATACTGAATCTCAAAATGTGGTTCTGGAAATGGATTACCTGTTGGAATTCATAGAATGGTGAAATTACTTAATGCATTAGACAGGTTTGGCTTTTCCCATATTGAGGACTGGAAGCATGTTAGAGCTATTGCCATCTCCCACGCCAACAACTAATCTTCCTTGGGATGCAACCCTCGTCGGTCTACTAACTCCTAGTGTTAGGACCGAGTGTGATTTGTAGGATTAAATATTACCTAGATTAAGTTAATATTAGGATTAGATACTCTTTTTAAGTACCTTATATTTACTTTGTTGTACGTGGTGCTTGTTCCGATGAGCGTGGTTTTGTGTTTACAATAAACATGTGGTCAAAATGTGTTTTCCTTCCACCCTATATATAACAGTGGCAATGAGGATTAATATTGCATGCTGGGAGTCAAGTTTCCAGGTGATGTGAAGATCATCCAAGGGTTTATAAACTGCTCAGCGAACAGTGGCATTAGGTGTAATGAAATACAGTATGCCCTCATCCTGCCACAAAGAAGAGGGTAAAGCAGACAGCACCAACATCACACACAAACGCATTTTTTAAAAAATGTGACTGTGGTGCTATTGCACACAAAATGTATATAAAAGGATTATTGGCAAGGTTGGAAGATGGATCGTTAATCTCCTACTGAACAGAACCCAAAGTCAACAAAAGCCGAATCTGAATCATCCTCAGTGAAATACTCAATCCTCCAAGGTACAGTACTTTGCTTGCTTTAATACTGTTTCTCATACTCATATAGGACATAGCCAAGGACACAAATTATAATACCATATCCTTTGCAAGTGATACTTAAGATTTTAATGAGTAAACAGTATATAGAGGATATGGAAACCACCTAATTAATGTTCATCAGGTCTTTCAGTTGGTTACAGAAAACATACTGTTTAGTGAAGACAAGTTCCAGCTCCTCTACTATGATAAAAATGAAAATATCAAATCATAATCGCATTAATTCTAAAATGCAGTCAAATTACACTATAGAAAGAGAAAGCCATACAAAAGATTTGGGAGTAATCATGTTGGAGGACCTTGGCTACTTTATTGTGTCCTGTCACAACTTCTATGAAAATGACAGGCTGGATAACAAGATCCTTAAAAAAAAAATAGATGCTAAGCCAGTGAAACTTTTTAAGGCATTAGTGCTCTCTAGAGTGGAATATTGTTGCATATTAACAGGCCCTATTCAACTGCAAGGAAGCTGCTAACTTGGAGATTGTGCAGATAACTTTCAAAATAAAAAAATAAAAAAAAGTAAATAATTGGGACAACTTAAAAACACATTTTTTCTCTCATCTGTACTCTAGAAAATACAGAATAATTTACACTTGAAAAATATTAGTGACTGATTCCAAATCTTCACACTGAAATTACTCCTTACAAGACTGTGAAACATGTCAGGAAGTGTAAAATAGCCCCTTTGATAAGTAGAGGTGCTGTTTCCTAAGAAAATTCTATCAATAGAAATATCCTAAGAGAATTCTATCAATATTAAAGGCACAAGATCTTTCTTAACACTCCCTCTATAGATAAAGGGGCATAACTATCTTTTGCTACCATCATTATTTAATACCATGCTACGGCTACCATCATCTTTTGTCCAGTTGTGATGGTCGAGTGGTTAAGGGGTCCTGTACACCAGTTGCAAAGTGCTCCTGGCAGTATGGGTTCGAGTCACTTCTGGGGTGTGAGTTTTCAGTTGCATATATGCCTGGGGACCATTCAGGCTTGTTTGCATATATATATAATATATATATATATATATATATATACATATATATATATATATATATATATATATATATATATATATATATGTATATATATATATATATATATATATATATATATATATATATATATATATATATATATATATATATATATATATATATATATATATATGTATATATATATATATATGTCGTACCTAGTAGCCAGAACTCACTTCTCAGCCTACTATTCAAGGCCCGATTTGCCTAATAAGCAAAGTTTTCCTGAATTAATATATTTACTACAATTTTTTTTCTTATGAAATGATAAAGCAACCCTTTTCTCTATGTATGAGGTCAATTTTTTTTATTGGAGTTAAAATTTACATAGATATATGACCGAACCTAACCAACCCTACCTAACCTAACCTAACCTATATTTATAGGTAAGGTTAGGTTAGGTAGCCAAAAAAGCTAGGTTAGGTTAGGTAGGTTAGGTAGACGAAAAAACATTAATTCATGAAAACTTGGCTTATTAGGCAAATCGGGCCTTGCATAGTAGGCTGAGAAGTGAGTTCTGGCTACTAGGTACGACATATATATATATATATATATATATATATATATATATATATATATATATATATATATATATATATATATATATATATATATATATATATATATATATATATATATATATATATATATATATATATAATATAGATAGTGTGTGTGTGTGGGTATATATATTACCTACAACAACTACCTTGTTGTTGTAGGTAGTATATATACTACCTACAGTTAGCAAACGTGATATTTGGCTAAAACATCTGGTAGTAGACCATTTGGAATGAAATATTTACACTTTCTTGAACTCTTGTTAAAAAGCTGTCTCCAAATTCATGTATCTTTTCGTACTCAATCACATAGTAACGGAGGGTGTGCGAATATTTTTGCTGATAGTTTACATTTGGTCAGGTCTACATTAGCAAGTAATGTAAATTCCCGGAGATACCAGCAACCCAGTCTAAGCCGAGCATAGACTGGGCTATACTCGGCATAGCGTATGTTACTATAACTCCGAGTAACATCTATAGGGGTCTGTTGATTTTATTGAATAATCAGTAGATGTGTGGATCTTCTTGCATGATAATATGATGATAAATAGAATTGATAGTGTAGACTTCACTTTGCCTCAGATCCACTAGGTTTTATTGACGTTCTTGGTGCGCATATTCCTTAATTCATTCTCTTCACCTGCTAATATCTTTATTATGAGCTAGTACCGTTTTCAGAGGTCGTGTTTTGTTGTTAAAGCTTTCTTCTGGCTGCCTGTGTCATCCATCTAGGTCTCTGTCGTTTCTGTCTCCTTCTTGCCATGTATTTTCTAATACGTTCAATGATGACCTTCAAGAAATGTTCCTATGAGGATTCCATGTTTTCATCTCCTATTAACTCCCTCCAGGAGCTGTTTTTCATTTCCTCTCATTCTATGATAGTCTTCTTGAAAGCAGCCCAGAAAGTCATCAACCTAGACCTTTTTATGGGTTTCTTGATTTGTATTCCATCTTTGGATAAAGTGGTCACATGAAAGGGTGACCTTCTTCCCCTATCTGGATTTGATCAGTTAAGTTGTTCTTGTTTAACTTACCTTTTTTAATGTTAAAACAAGATATAGAATGTTGTTACCTCGGGCGGGCTCAGTCACACACTGTATGAGAAAGAAGTCCTGTATTAGGTGCACAAATTCTTTTGCTTCCAATTATGATGTTAGATTCACCTAATCTATTGTCTCGCGATTGAAATACCCCCCATTATTTATTTATTTATCTATTTAAATAGATATTATCTATTATCTATTATTATCTAGCATTATCTATTTATTTATTCAAGTGTGACAGCTTTGAGAAGTGCAAGATTTGCATTACCTTTCTTGGTGACGGGTGTGTATGATACGTGAATGGTGGGGTACAGATAAAGAGGAATATCGGAGACAGGAAAATTGCACTTAATGTGGACAGAATTTTGTACAAAGTCCCAAGAGGTGACGTGTGAGAGAATTATCCCGTCGACTTCAACGGTGCACTTGTGAAAAAGCTCTTGTCACCTTATTTGGGAAAGAGACCTATACCTTATACAGAGAAACGGTACACAAGTCCTGTTCTGACCTCAACCATGCTGGATACAACACTGTCGTGTGACACCGTGTCTCTCAATAAAAAATAAGTCCCAAAATTGATAGAACAACAAAACTGTGGCGAGGTAAAGTTAAAATGTGTGAGTAAATATTGGCAAGACAAAGAGAGTGTCACTTTCCGGGCGACATTACACAGAGGAAATCGATTCACGAAGTCATCCACAGAAGTCTTCTCTGATGACATCTTCTGTTGTCGACCAAAGAGCGAACATGCGCCTCATTACCGCGGCTGATGTGCACATCAGCTCAATGGAAGGCATGATAGTTGACGATGTGGCATTTTATATATATATTTCTTGCACATTATTGACAGTTGCGCGTGAATATCCACAACCTGTAGACAGTCTACAGTGTACAGCTTCAAGATCGACATAAGGTCATCTGTGTGTGTTTGGGTACGAACTGGTGTACCGCCTGCTGGTGAACGGTGGTACACCAGGCTGAGGTACCCAGGTACTGTACTTATCTATCAGTTACTACAGAGAGTGAAGTCTAGCTCTTTATGCCCCGCCTACTGGCCTTGTTGTGATCTTCTAACGTTCTAATTCTTTGTCGAATCTGGCCTTAAAGTTGTGGATGGAGGTGGCTTCCACAACTTGTTTCAGGTCATCCCACCTGTTGACCGCCCGTACTGAGTACAAGTACTTCCTGACATGTCTTCGGCATTTACCGTTCCAGCTCTCACTTACGTCCTCTCGTTCTACTTTCTCATAATTTAAAGAGCGTCCTTGTTCACTTTGTCTATTTCCCCCCTTAGTGTTATGATTATTTCCCCCCCTTACTGTTGTGATTATTTCCCCCCCTTACTGTTGTGATTATTTCCCCCTCTGTTTCTTCTGTTCATTGAGGTTGTGAGATCCAGTTCCCTTAAATTAAATTACCCTCAGCAAAATCCTCTCAGCTGTCACTAATCTTATTGCAAACCTCCGCACCATTTCCGTTTTGGTCATATGCTTCACATAAGATAACAGGATGGTGCTGCTTATTGCAGTATTGATCTAACAGAGGCTCAGCAGATTACCTTTTAAACATTCCTTATTTAGTCTTCTTCACGACGTTCTAGTGTTTCCCAGAGTCCCATATTATGTCGCTGTTACCCTCATTATGTCTGTCATTGGTGTTAATGTTGGAATTATATTCAATTTAAAATATTTTTTCCCTGAGCTATTGTAGTTTCATTCCCCAAGACCTGGGTAAACACCAGGTGTGGCGGGCCCCAGACCTGGGTAAACCACCAGGTGTGGTGGGCTCCAGACCTGGGTAAACCACCAGGTGTGGTGGGCTCCAGACCTGGGTAAACCACCAGGTGTGGTGGGCTCCAGACCTGGGTAAACCACCAGGTGTGGCGGGCCCCAGACCTGGGTAAACACCAGGTGTGGCGGGCCCCAGACCTGGGTAAACCACCAGGTGTGG